TTGCAAAAATTTGATACAGAATGAGAAAGTTTTATATATATGATGATAGAAACAGAGATTGGAACCAAGGAGGTAATAACCATAGTAATCTAACATTTACTTCATTGAATTATATGCCAGAGGCTATTCTGACTGAGCACTTCACATATGTAAATTTATGTAAATTTCCCAAGATTAGTAGCAGGTAAGTACTAATATTCTACCTTTTATAAATGAGGAAATTGAGGCACTGAGAGATTACATAAATTGTGCCAGGTTTCACAGTTACTAAGCAGAGTATCAGAAGATAATATGGCATAGAATACTGCTATATTGTGAGCTTATTACTGTTGGTGTTTTATCTCTTAAACAATACTGCTAATCATGATATCTTTTCTTCTTCAAGATAACTTTGTAAAAAAGGTTTTGCTTCTTAGAGCAGTTTGAGATTCACAGCAAAATTGAACAGAAAGTATGTAGAATTTCCATACACTTCCTGCCCCCACACAGCTTGCCACACTGTCAGCAATCCCCACACAGTGGTATATTTGTTACAGTCGATGGGTGAATCTACATTGATTTGATACATCATTATCACTCAAGTCCATAGTTTATAATAGAATTCACTCTTCTGTTGTATCCATTGTTACAGAATCGTACAGAATAGTTTCATTGCCCTAAAAGTCCTGTGTTCTATCTGTTCTCTACCATCCCCTTCCCCAGGCAACTACTAATATTCCTACTATCTCCATAATTCTGCATTTTCCATGATGTCATAGAGTTGAAATCATACCCTATATAGCCTTTTTAAATTGGTGTCTTTCACTTAGTAGTATGCATTTAAGGTTTCTCCATGCCTTCTGTGGCTGGATAGTTTATTTCTTTTTAATGTTGAATAATATTTTTGTGGTTGTGCCACAGTTTATTTTTCCAGTTCCTATTGCTTCACATCCTTGACAATTTAGTATTGTCAGTGTTTTGGATTTCAGCCATTACTATAGGTGTGTAATAGTATTTTGTTTTTATTTACAATTTCTTAATGACTTATGATGTTGGACATTTTTTCATATGCTTATTGCCTTCTATAAATCTTCTTTGCTGAGGTATCTGTTCAGAGTTTTTATCCTTTTCTAAAATTGGGTTGTTCATATTTTTATTATTGAGTTTTAAGAATTCTTTGTATATTTTAAATCAGTGTTTCCCAAAGTGTGGTACTCATACCCCCAGGGGTAGGGGAAGAGTTTGGTGGGGGTAGGTGTTGCACCGGAGTTTGGTGGGGATATGCACTGCACCGTGCTTAGCTGCACCTAATTCTACGTTCTCATGAGTATGAGGGGTACTCAGCATTACAAAAATTATAGAAAGGGTACACATATGTCAAAAGTTTGGGAAACACTGATAAATGATAGCACATTATCAGATATGTCTATTGCAAATATTTTCTCCCAGTCCTTGGCTTATCTTCCTGTTTTCTTGACAGTTTCTTTCACAGAGCATAAGTTTATAATTTTAATGAAGTCTAGCTTTTCAATGATGATTTCACTGTTCATGCTTTTGGTGTCATATCTAAAATGTCATTTGAACAAAGTCATATAGATTTTCTCCTATGTCATCTGCTGGGATTTTATAGTTTTGTGTTTTACATTTTGGTGTTACACTTTGAGTTAATTTTTGTGAAGGGCGTAAAATCTGTGTCTTGATTTATTTTCTTAATATATAAATGATTTAGTTAGTCCAGCATCATTTGTTGAAAAGATTGCTTATCTTTTCTCTACTGCATTGTCTTTGCTTCTTTATCAAGTTTGGTTGATTATATTTGTATGGTTTGTTTCTGGGCTCTCCATTTTGTGTGATTGATGTATTTGTCTCTCTATATCTCTCTCTTTTTTTCACCAATACCACACAGCCTTACTTATGGTAGCTATATGGTAAGTTTTGAAGTTGGATAGTGCCATACTTCTGACTTTGTTTTCTTCTTTCAGGATTTTGTTGGCCATTCTGCATCTTTTGCCTCTCCCTGTAAGCTTTAAAATCTGGTTGTCAGTACCCATAAAATGACTTCCTGAGATTTTGTTTGGGATTGCATTTGACAATATTGTGTTCCTATCCATAAACATGGAATCTAACTAGTTCTTTTTTATTTTCATCAAAGTTTTGTAGTTTTTCTCATATAGATCTTTTATTTATTTTGTTAGATTTATATTTTATTTCTTGATGTGCTAATGTATTTCATTTTATGTTAGGGAGGATGCTAATATAAACGGTATTACATTTTTTAAAATATATTTTTATTGATTTTAGAGAGGAAGGGAGAGGGGGAGAGAAACATCAATGATGAGAGAGAATCATTGATTGGCTGCCTCTTGCACCCCCCACGCTGGGGATCAAGCCTGCAACCCAGACATGTGCCCTTCACTGGAATCAAACCTGGGAACATTTAGTCCCTAAGCCAACACTCTATCCACTGAGCCAAGCCAGCCAGGATGCATTTTTAATTTCAAATAACACTTGTTCATTATTGGGTACATAGAAAAGCAGTTGACTTTTGTATATTAACCTTGTGAACTGGAACCTTTCTATAATTGCTTATTCCATGTCAGTTACTATTTGTTGACCTTCTCAGATTTTATACATATACAATCATGTCATCTGAGAACAAAGATAGTTACATGTCCTTCTTTCTAATCTGTACATTAAAGTTAAGAAACTTCTCCATATTCTTAGTGTGCTGAGAGTTTCTGTCATTAATAGATGTTGAATTTTTAAATGCTTTTTCTGCATCTATTAATGTGATCATGTGCTTGGAGGGGGTTAGCTTATTGATGTGAATAGTTGGTTTTTATTTATTTAAATATTAGAGGCCAGGGCATGAAATCCGTGCTTGGGGGTGGGGTGTCCTTCAGCCCGGCCTGCAACCTCTCCAATCTGGGACATCCCTATCACTATCCAGGACCAATGGCTCCTAACGCCTCACTTGCTTGCCTGCCTGATTGCCCCTAGTCACTTCTGCCTGCCAGCCTGATCGCCCCCGAACCGCTCCCCTGCTGGTCTGATCGCTCCCAATTACCCTCCCCTGCCAACCTGATGGCCCCAACCACCCTCCTCTACAGGCCTGGTTCTCCCTAACTGGCCTCCCCTGCCTGTCAGGTCACCCCCAGCTGCCCTCCCCTGCTGACCTGGTCTCCCTCAATTGCCCTCCACTGCAGGCCTGGTCACCCCTAACTGCCTTTCCTCGCTGGCCCGATTGCCCCAATTGCCCTCCCTTGCCGGCCATTTTGTGGCGACATGAGGGCAGTCATCTTTTGGCAGTGTAGCATGAGGGTGTGACTTCACCTAGACTTTTATATTTTTATTGATTTCAGAGAGAAAGGGAGAGGGAGAGAGAGACAGAATCATCCGTGTTGAGAGAGTATCATTGATCAGCCACCTCCTTCACGTCCACACTGGGAACTGAGCCTACAACCCAGGCATGTGCCCTGACCTGGCTGACCTCCTGGTTCATAGGTCGATGCTCAAGCTAGGTTGAGCCACACTGACCAGGGCTAGTTGGTTTTTAAATGTTGAACCACCTTGCATACCTAGAATAAATCTTACTTGATTGTGGTATGTAATTTTTTCATAGAGTGTTGGATTTGACTTGCAAGTATTTTGAAGATTTTTTTGCATCTATGTTAATGAGAAATATTGGTCTATTTTTTTCTTATAATTTATTTTCCTGGTTTTTATATTTAGGGGTAATGCTGGATTCATAGAATGAGTTAGAAAGGTATTTCCCTTGCTTCTATCTTCTGGAAGAGTTTGTATAGAGTGGTCTAATTTCTTCCTCAGATACTTGGTAGAATTATCAGTAAATCCATTTGGGCCTGATACTTTGTCTTAGATGGTTAATAATTATAGAATCAATTTCTTTAATAGATACTGGATTATTTATTTCTTTTGTAAATTTTATCAGATTATGTATTTCATCTAGGTTATCAAATTTGTGGGCATGAGGTTATGCATAATATTTCTTTACTATTTTTTAAAAAAACATTCATGGGATCATTTCTGATAGTAGTAATTTGTATCTACTCTTTTTCTTAGCTTGGCTAGTGTCTGGTCAATTTTATTGATCTTTTGAAAGAACTAGCTATAGGTTTTATTGATTTTTCTATTTTGAATTTCTGTTGTCTATTTCATTAATTTCTGTTCTAGTTTTTTTAAAAAATATTTTTTGCTTGGTTTGGATTTAATTTGCTCATTTTCTCTAGTTTCCTAAGATAGAATCTTAGATTATTGATTTTAGATCAGTTTTCTTTTTTAATATATACATTCAATGCTATAAATTTCCCTCTAAGCAATGCTTTTGCTGAAGCCCACAAATGTTGATAAGTTATATTTTTATTTTCATTTGGTTCAAAATATTTTAAAATTTCTTCTGAGATTTTGCTTTTATCCACGTGTTATTTTGGAGTGTGTTGTTTAATCTCCAAGTATTTTTCAGCTATCTTTCTGTTACTATATAATTTCTAATTTATTTCTACTGTGGTCTGAGAGTGTACATTGTATAATTTCTATTCTTTTTAATATGTTAAAGAGTGTTTTATAGCCCAAAATGTGGTCTGTCTTGATGAACAAGATATCTCTTTTATTGTACTGAATTGAAGTCACTTAGGTTAATGAAGACATTTAAAAATAGTTATGTTTTCCATCAGTGACAGGGACTTGGCACTTTATCTTCAACTCTCTTTATGATCTGTTCCAATAGGGGAAAGTCTCTTATTTTGGTGCTATGTTCCTATGTGTGCCAACCTAGGTCTGAGTTGCATCTGTGGAATATCTAGGCTGTTTTCAAAAAATGTAATTGCACATTAGTGAAAGTATTTTACATAATGAATCTGTACATTTTTAAATTTTTATATTGGTTGAGGTATCACAGCAGCTGGAAATTTTTAAAAATTTGGAGACATTTAACATTTTTCAGAGATCTGTAAATAATAAATTTTCATTATAATGTGACAATATTTTTCTATCCCATTTAGTTTTGTCAGCCCAGTGGGTGGCAGCTGTCCAGAGAGAGGAAGCAGCCAACGTTTTTTGTGGTGGTCCTGACAGATATTGACTCAGATCGACATTACTGCTCGTGCCTAACCTTCTATGAGGCGGAGATCAATCTTCAGGTATGACAACTTCTCTAGCCAAAGTATAGTCAAAAGGACTACATATAGGATTTTGTTTATGCCATATTTGTTAGAACTACCAGCTTGAGTTCTTTGGGCTACTTTAAAAAGAATATATTACTATACTGTTGAAAGCAACAACAATAATTACATCTAAGTTTAATTATTCTCTTTTAAAATAAAAATCATCTGAATGCTTCTAAGAACAGCATATGTGTGAATTTAAGTTTTGTATCCTCTCATAGCGAACTTGCCATTTTCCTTTATCAGTCCTTCTCCTGAGGGGATCTTTCACAGAATATATATAGAGTATTTAATCAGAATATCTATAGATTACTTACCACAATTCTTTATTTTTTTTAAATTTAATGAATCTTTATTGTTCAAATTATTACAGTTGTTCCTCTTTTTCCCCCCATATCTTCCCTCCACCTGTTTCCCATCCCACCCTCTTCCTTTATCTCCCACCATTGTCCTCATCCACATGCGTACGATTTTTGTCCAGGCTCTTCCCACATCCCCCCCATATCCCTTTCCCCTTGAGAGTTGTCAGTCCACTCCCTTTCTATGCCCCTGATTCTATCTATTACATTCACCAGTTTATTTTGTACATCATGTTTTTAATTCACTTGGTTTTTAGATTCACTTGTTGATAGATATGTATTTGTTGTTCATAATTTTTATCTTTACCTTTTTCTTCTTCTTCCTCTTCTTAGAGAATACCTTTCAGCATTTCATATAATACTGGATTGGTGGTGATGAACTCCTTGAGCCTTTTCTTATCTGTGAAGCTCTTTAGCTGACCTTTGATTCTAAATGTCAGCTTGGCTGGGTAGAGTAATCTTGGTTGTAGGTTCTTGCTATTCTTCACTTTGACTATTTCTTGCCGCTCCCTTTTGGCCTGCATAGATTCTGTTGAGAAATCAGCTGACAATCATATGGGTGCTTCCTTATAGGTAATTACTGTTCTCTCTTGCTGCTTTTAATATTCTCTTTGTCCTTTGCTCTTGGCATTTTAATTATGATGTGTTTTGATGTGGTCCTGTTTGGTTTCCTTTTTGTTTGGGATTCTGTGCACTTTCTGGATTTGTAAGTCTATTTCTTTCACCAGATGGGGGAAATTTTCAGTCAATATTTCTTCACATAGGTTTTCAGTATCTTGCTCTCTCTCTTCTTCTGGCATCCCCATAATTCTGATGTTGGTACACTTGAAGTTGTCCCAGAGGCTTCTTACACTATCTTTAAATTTTTGGATTCTTTGTTCTTTTAGCTTTTTCAGTTGAATGATTTTTGCTTCTGTGTGTTTCAAATCTTTGACTTGATTCTTGCATTCCTCTAGTCTGCTGTTGGGTGTCTGGATAATATTTTTTATTTCAAACAGTGTATGTTTAATTTTTAGTTGGTCCTTTTCCATATCTTCGAGGGACTGTTTCATGTCCTTGAGGGTCTTGCTAAATTTATCAGCCTTTTCTAGGAAATTTTTGAAAAACCTTATAACCGTGGTTTTGAACTCTATCTCCAGTCATTTGTTTTCCTCCATTTCTTTATTTGTGATCTGTTTCTTTGTCTATGCATTTTTGCTGCTTCCCTGAGTTAGTAGGATAGCTTTGTGTGTTTGGTGTCCCATATGGGCCAGTGGCTCAGCCTTCCCAGTTACCTGAGTTGGGCACTCTTGATGCATCCCTTTGTGGACTGTGTGTACAGCCTTGTTGTAGTTAAGTCTTTTTTAAAAAAAATTTTTTTTAAAATAAGTTTTTATTGTTCATATTATTACAAATGTTCCTTCTCCCCTCCCCCCCACCATTGCTCTCCTCCACCAGGTTCCCACCCCACCCTCTGCCCTTTCCCCACTCCCCATTGTCCTCATCCATAGGTGCACAGTTTATGTTCAGTCTCTTCCCACGTCCCCCTCTCCCCTTTTTCCCAAGAATCGTCAGTTCACTCCCCTTCCATACCTCTGATTCTATTATATTCAACAGTTACTATTGTTCATCAGATTTTTTTTTTAATTTCCTTGTTTTTTATTCACTTGTTGATAGTTACGTATTTGTTGTTCATAATTTTTATCTTTGCTTACTTTCTCTTCTGAAAGAACCCCCTTCAGCAATTCATATAATTCTGGTTTGGTGTTGATGAACTCCTTTAGCTTTTTTTTATTAGTGAAGCTCTTTATCTGACCTTCGATTCTGAGTGATAGCTTTGCTGGATAGATTATCTTTGGCTGTAGGCTCTTACTATTCATCACCTTGGGGTCTGGCCTAGGCTTGGGTGCAGAGCAGTCAGAATGGGGCCCAGCACAGTCGGAGTTTTATCTCCTTCCCGCTAGGGAACGCCCGCCAGGCACTCCGCCACCCTCCTCTCCAGCTCTGTCCTCTCCGCGCGCCGTGTGTCTCCGTACCTTGGGCTTTTCCAGCTCCTCCGCGCTTCCTTCTGGTTTTTTCCTTGCTTCTCGTTGTAGAATTTCCAGTCAGTCAACTTTCCTGTAGTTCTGGGTAATGTCCGTTTTATATTTTAGTTGTATTTTATTGAAATTGTTGTGTGAGGCTGCAGCTAGGTAGTCACCTTGGCGCAGCCATCTTGGATCCCAAAATATATCTGTAGTTAAGTCTTGATTGTTGTTGGTATCAATGGGAGGAGTTGACCTCCAAGCCAATTGGCTGTGAGGATCAGCTGTGTCTATGCCAGGAGACAGCCTTATTCGACTAGACTTGCAAAATTGCAAAAGCCTCTGTGCTCAGCTTGGATGGGGCGGAGTTACAGGGTGGAGCCTACAGCCTTGGCTTCCTGTCAGCCCCATCCTATGAGGTTCCTGAGTCTCAGTGTCCCTCAGTGTCCCTCAGTACTCACTGCAAGCACCTCTGAGAGAAAGGTGCCCTCGAGTTTCACCTGTTGTTAGACAGTCTAGTCTCTCCCCCAATTAATCTGGATTCCCAGATTCTCACCCAGAACTGGAGTTCAGTGCAGTTGGAACTGGGGTTCAGTCCGAAGCTTTTGTCTCCTTCCCACTATGGCAATACTGTGGCACAGTCAGTCCATCCTCTGTGCGCATTCACATGCTCACCTCCGGAGTTCTGCCTTTTGCTGCTTCCCTGAGTTTCTGCCTTACAGCCCAGATTCCCCCAGTATGAGCCTGGGTCCCCATGGTTTCGCCCAGAACTGGGGTTCAGTGCAGTCCAAAGCTTTTCTCTCCTTTCCGCTAGAAAACGCCAGCCAGGCACTCAGCTGCCTCCTCCTCTCTGGCTCCGTCCTCTCTGCACACACGTGCCTGTGTCTCTGTACCTCAGGCTTTTACAGCTCCTCTGATTTTCCTTGTGGTTTTTTTCTTTCCTTCTAATTGTAGAATTTCCAGTCAGTCAGCTTTCCTGTGGTTCTGGATGATGTCCGTTTTGTCTTTTAGTTGTATTTTTGAAATTGTTGTGTGAGGCTGCAGTTTAGGCATTTTCCTATGCCGCCATCTTGATTTCTCTCTGACTTATCACAATTCTTGATATTATTTTTGAAGAACCTAAGTAAATATACTTCACTATGATTAGTGGTGGTAGTTGAAAGATGGTGGAACTGAAATTTATAAGCTACAACTATAGAAATTGAAAATACTTGATTTTTCAGTGTATTAATTGGGGTTCTTAGTTCCAGCCAACTGGATATATATCCTCTATGAAAGAAAGGATTTATGACAACGTATTGGGCAGCTTATGTAATTTCATGGCTGAAGAGTAAACAAGAAATGAGTTCTGGGTACTATGAACTGTCTAGCTTGGGGCAATTGTAGTAGAAACATACTTTCCCTACTTATACATTTGGCACTTATGTTGTTGGGCATTAGGCAATATAATTTTCATAATAGGTGCCCTGAAAAACCCATGTGCAGCGTATTCTCAAGTTGTTGATTTCTTCTTTAAGTCTCATACGGATTGATTCCTTGAGAAAGTCAGATTGCATGCAAATCCCACTCCTCTTCAAAAGGAATAAGAAAATATTTTTCTTATGGTTATTTGTTTTGCTTTAAGGTCTCTGTAATACAAGAAAAAGTTTGTAATTATAAAAGAATTTGGAGGATATTGAGAAAGTAAATTTGCATTTTTGCTGTACTGTCTATTATATACAAATGAATGAGTATTACCACCAGGGGAAAGGTTGGCTTTCTTTCTGAAATGGCCTTACAAAGGAGCATTTATTATTTTGGTTACTTTAATTAAATTCCAAGATATGAATTTTCTAGATGTAGAAATCTGATTTCTACAAGGGGATACAAATCACTTTTCATGATGCAGAGTTACATTATCTAAGTTGATTATACTGATTTATTAAAACCAGCATGCTAGTTTATTAATTTACAATGATAAGTTAAAAGGTTATATAGAACAAGCATCATCAACACATTCTCTTCTTGTCAGATCTTTGTGTGAAGCTGTATCAAAATCAGAAGCATTTTGGTTATGGAATCAAACTAAAGAACAGTTCATGTCAAATATTTAACAGCTGTCAGACTAACATAATCTGTTGTTTATATTTGAAATGAATAATTCTATGGTCAATGAATAAAGAAAAATTCGAAGTCTATGACTATAGTTATCTCTAGCCTGAATAATGTTTGGGTGGGTGTTGCCAACAAATAACTAATCAAATTTCTATTTTGATCAATTCAGTCTAAATAAGAGTGTTCTCTAGTCAAGAGTTTCTTTTTCCTTTTCTTTAGATGACCTTTCGTTTTTATCCATGTTGATCTTTAGAATTTAAGTCAGTGCTGAGAATGCAGAAGTTCCTTTTATTTTCATATTCTTGAGGAGTCTCTTCATAACTTTTTAGAATTATGTAATGAAATTAGCTGTGATTATTTATGTTCTCCCTCCTTTCTCCTTTACTATCAACCTTTCTTCTCCCTGCCCCCTAATAAACTGCCCGAAAAGTAATACACTAGGAAGACATTGTCCAAGAGGGTGGCATAGGAAGCTTCTGAACTCACTTCCTTCCATGGATACATTGATTCTACAGCTACA